TTCTCAGGCACTCCCTCGCATAATCTGGGCACTCCACATATGCGACAAGTATTATTGAGGCATTAGCAAGGGTCGTCCCCATGATCCTTATCACAGTGCTGGCAAATCCTACCGTATCTATTGTTAGAATCTGAGTGGGAGTTTGAGTCATCGGCTTAGATGTCTTATTCTATTGAACATGTACAGTAGGTGCTGGTCTGCAGTGTGAATCTGATGACCTAAGGTTCCCTACTGCTGGAGGGAAAATACGAAAGTTCATCTCTACTATCTTTGCCATGGCCAAAACAGGCGAGTATGTACTGAGCTCGAACACATACAGCTGTTGTCTAATCTCAGGACAGAGACTCCATTTCGAACTTTCTTGTCTTCCTGCCTTCATCCATCATGCTCTCAGGAGAATACTAGCCCAACTTAGGAACTTTTGAGCATATTTTGATACAGTCATGTCACCCTGGAGTAAGTGTGCAAACTCTATTTCTTTCATATATCAGAGATGATTTAGAATGTACTCTGCATTAAAGGCCGTCAAGAATTATTCCCAAGTGACTGGAACAGACAGGGTGGCCTACTTGAGCTGCTACCAGCAGCCTGCCTCCCCCAACAACATGTAGGTAGCAAGTATGACTCTCTGTTTGGGAATCACTCCAAGAGTCATGAAGGCCTTCTCTATCTCAGCCAACCAGTACTTGGCCTCTTCAAATGAGGATGCCCCTATAAAAGTAAATGGGTTTAATCTTTTATACCTCTCAATGTAGTCTAGGTCCATCATGGGAGGAACCGAGTCCCATGGGAGAGGGACTGGATTGTGTTGAGGATGGATTGGGTGGCCCTGTGGTGGCACTGAATGATATGGTGGAGGCACCAGATTGTACTGTGGTGGTGCTGGTTGATGCCGTTAGGGCGCCGAGCTATACTGTGGTGGTGCCGAGTGGTACTGTGGCTGGGGTACCAGATCATACTGTGGTGGTGTTGGGTGGTACTGTGGAGGAGCAAGGTCATATCAGAATGACTTAGGATCCTCTCGTTGTAGGGGTGGCTCAACCTGTGGCAGCGGGGGAGGGTCAGGTAACTCCCTCCTTTCCTCCCGGGCCTGCTGGGTAGCGATGAGTCTTTTCAGCATTTTAAATAGCCGATCAACATCCTCTCGAAATGAACCATCCCTGGCTGCTCAGTTTAGTGGGGATTTTCCTCTCCTCATCTATCTGTACCTGTATTTCATAAAGAATAGTTGAGTGATGATTCATTATTTTTTGTGTTTTCTAAGGATTTTGTATAAGGAATGATTCTGAAGAACGCGGCTCTAATACCAATTATAACGGTCTGTGAACTCCAAATGAGATAAATTATAAATTTAGTGCGAAAGCGAAATAAATAATTAGAGTTTACATTCCTTACACAATAATTCATATTAACCAATAGGGTTACAGGAATGACCATTCTAAAAGAATAACGAAAAATTAAAGAAATAAAAAGAAAATAAATAATTAGGTATCCTACTTGCAACCCTCTTGTGGATCGGACTCTAGATCTTGGTACTCTTAATCTGAAATTGTTAATGAAAGAATGAGCTACACTAACTCAGTAAGAATATCACGCTACTCACCGACATAGAAATGAAGACTGGTAGAAATCATATAAATAACTAATGGTGCTCTTAATTTAAGTAAATTCGTTTATCATAAATAAAATCATTTACCGCATATTTACCATAGTGAGATTTTTTAAAAAAATCAAGTTATAAAGTCAATAACATAAACAATATCAAAATCTTATATTCAATCAGTCATAACAACAACTTTCTCCTTTATCAACCTACTAGTATTCATGGGAGTCCATAGGGATGTCCCCACTACGCGTGAACCTTTATTCAATATTTTTCAGATAACAAGCCGTCCCCATACTCTGTCTGGTATGAGCACTAAAAGATACCATCTCTCAATACTCCGTCTGGTATGAGGATGAAACGAACTGTCCTCATACCCCGTCCAGTATGAGTGCTAAATTACCAACCTTCGATACCCCGTCTGGTATGAGGTAACGTTCACGACAGGGTTCCCTATGTACCCAGTCCGTCCACCATCTCCTAGAATATCCAGTAAGGTTTTCATTCATCCATCCACTTAATCAAATAATTTTCTATTTACCTTTAATTTCTAGTTTGCTAATTTAACCGTAATCACATAAAACAAGTAATACATGAATCAAGAAAACACAATCGCATCATCATATCAATTCCATTATATTATCATGCATTCGAAAACTGTAAAATTAGGCAATCAGTTAAACATAGCAAACAGTAATAAGTAACTGGTTCTGGTTCCATTAGTGATCTGTAATTAATTACGAATATTTTCTAAGTTTCACAAAATAGAATATTATTTAAAATTAAACTTCAATTCCATAACATGGAATAAGGTGAGGGATTCTTACTCAAATTGGTGTCCGAA